CACTTCTTTGGGGAACATGATGATCATCTGGCACACCCAGCAACATTTGCAGGCTTCGACAGCCTCAAAGAAATGGGGGTCTGTGCAACCTACCATCTAAAGACCCACTTATAATATCTTATAATACTAATACCTCTTCTGATCTATTGAATCATATTGAATCCATATTGAATCCATTCAACAACCCCATGTTTGGGGTTCCGTGGTGGTGTTTGGTGGTTTTCAGCAGGGTCTAACGCCAACAAAGATCAGAATTACTGGCTCATTTGCCATGTTTCACTTGCTCATTTTTATCATATAGATTGCATAGCGTCAAGCCAAAGCAGCTAGGATTTGACTCTCTACCCTCTGGTAAACTCACATAGCTATGGAAAATCACCATCTTTAGTAGGCAAATCAACTATTTCTATGTGCCATTTTCAATAGTAACCTGTTAGTCATTACCAGGGGATATATAGTTCCTATGAAAAATATGTAGCATCCCCAGTTTTATGGATCCAGTTCGACCTAGTGTTGGTGAAATAAATTCCATGAACATCCTCTTTGAATCACCATTTGGTCCATTTGGTTTTATAGAGATAAACATCCATAAATCATCATAAATCCATAAACCATCCAATATGAATCACCATTTGAAATCATGACATGATTAAAGTCCATCTATCACCAATATCCCCATATATAAGACAGCTAATTATATCTAATTGTTTAATTTGGGTTCCATTGATAAACCATAACCATAAACCAGCCAATATCCTCGGGTGAAAATCACCAAAACAAAATCACCACTGTCTGGCGCCTCTGCTGCAGAGTCTGGATCTACCTCGTCACCCTGCATGAGATGCTGCGAAATGAGTCATTTCTGATTTTTTTTGGGGATTACCGTCTGGTAAACTAACATAGCTATTGAAAATTACCATTTATACTGGATTTACCCATTGAAAATTGTGATTTTCCATAGTTGTGTTAGTTTACCAGGGGGTACATGACATGGGGTTTCTATACCATCTGAAAGACAAAGGTAGATGTGTAAAACCCGTGCATTATCAAGGAACATGATCTACAACTGGCGGATTTTCATGGATTTTCTATATATATCATTCTCACCTTAATTTCTGGATAGCAGATCGATAAGAACTCATGCTTAAACGGATCGATGACGTTTTTTTTTATGGCAGAAGGGAAACATTGCAAACATCTTCCCATCCCATTCCCATCCACCAATAAGGAGTGGAGATTCAAGTGAGCAAAAGGGGAACTGGTTGGTGGTTGATCCCTACCCCTCTGAAAAATGATGGAGTTCGTCAGTTGGCATGATGAAATTCTCAACTGAATGGAGAAAAAAAAACATGTTCCAAACCACAAATCAGATGATGTAATCATCATTAACCATCATTACCCATCATTATATAACCACCCCCCTGTCAATTAAGGGGTGGGGCTGTGCAACCATTTTGTAGTGGAAAAACGGCTTGCATAGCCTCAAGCTCTACTAAATGGATGCGCATGCATGATCGAATTTCACTACTAAATGTGGGCCCCTGGTTCAGCTGAAGCGCAAAATTTGGATATATTTTCAGAGTGTCTTAAGACACCAACATGACTCGACCAAACACCCTGTTCCATTTAGTAGAGGTACTCATTTGAGCACAAGTTGCGGGACCAACATCACTCGACTAAAACCCCAAAGCCATTTAGTAGAGAAATACACGGGGTCCATTTAGTAGAGAAAACAACATGAAACACATATGATTGATCCCAAGACCATCCATTTAGATTTGGCATCGCCCCCAAAAAAGGCAACAAAAGAACCCAAGCACGAAAGGCAGCACCTGACGAGCAAGAAACACCCAAGCGAGGGATTTGGCATCGCCCCCCAAAAAAGGCAAAAAAAAAACAAACATGAAAGGCAGCACCTGACGAGCAAGAAACACCCAAGCGAGGGATTTGGCATCGCCCCCAAAAAAGGCAAGGCAGCACTTGGCTAGACAGGGGAAATCTTGACAGATTTTGGACATGTTGGGACTACAAAATGGTGTTCCATAGCACGTAAGGGATAATAGGGCACACAAGGATGCAACAGGGCTTTGTTTGAAACAGTTCTAGATAGACTGATCCCATGACCATCCATTTAGTAGAGGCAGCACTTGGCTAGACTGGAGGCGGCATGGCAGGATACCGCAAGGATGCTATCTTTGTCCAACTTCTGTTGTTTCATATCGCGGTATACCCGATCATGTTGATTTACTTCAACCCAGGAATATCTTTGATATTCATTGGCATTCTAGAAATTTATATTTATTTTTCAAGTTTCTTATGTTTTTGAGCATCTATTATCATATACTATCTGGATTTACGTGATTCATCCTGATGGACATGGATTGGTCAAACGGCTATCGGGGGCAACGGAATGGGAATCTCTACTAAATGGTTTTTCAGTTTTGTCTCATTTCATTGTGACCGTTTTATGAACTCTACTTCGCAACCTCTACAAAATGGTTCCTGTGATTTTGCAACATTTTTTTGACATCTCTACTAAATGGTTTTACCCAAAAAACAACATTTGACATCATATGATTAACATATCATTTTACCTCTCTACTAAATGTTGATCATGGGTCTAGAGATGTTTACTTGATTTTTTTTGAAAAATCATGATTCTCTACTAAATGGTTTCTAGAAATTTCACACTAAATTTTTGGTTCACTTTCCGGGACCTAGGTCATAGCATTTAGTAGTGGAAATTGGCAGGAGGATATATAACCATGATTTAACAATTAACCATGTTCCAAACCACCACTTTGTCCACTTTGATCTGCGCACTGCCTTAGTTCTCGAAAGCAGTGCTTTGACTGTGGCTGATACGGGACAATGTCACACCGGAACAAGCAGGTGATCCAAAACCCTAGTTGACCGTCTGACGGGAACAGCACTTAATTCGAGAAAACACCAGACAATGTTCTCCAGCCGTTCATTCGAAAACTGGAGCGCCATACAGCTGGCATGCATACATATCATGTGGCTCTGTGGCCTACAGTACTGAGACATCACGTCGAATTTAGCATGGCGGCAAATTTCACAGAACGGCAACTGTACAAAACAAAGTCCGGAGATGAACGACTGCAACTCCCAGGAACCAAGTTGTGTCTCACTCATGGCCCAAAACTCCCCACGGGACATGTTCGCAACAACACAACCAGCATCGCTTTGGAGACCCGAAGGGTTGGCAGTTTCCAAAACAAAATTGGTATCACAAAAGGCATCCACAGGACCCGGGGGAAAAGCTTCCCTGACCCTGACAACACTGAAAGACACAAGAAGCATAACCATCTTCGTTTTGGCAGACGACCATACTCTCTCATAAGACAGTGCAGATGCTAACCCCATAATCAAGAAAACAAAGTCGGGCACCAGAGCCACCATAGGCCAGTAAACTGACAAAGTAGCAGTCCTGACGCTGCACCAACCAGATGGCTCGCGCCCTCCCCATCATTCACCTTCCTCTCTCAGACGCATTGACACCACACCCCGAATGTGAGAGAGCTGGGTCTCCAACATAGCTTGAATACGATGAGTCTGCGTTTCAATCTGCCCATACAACTGCTGATCTGAGATGGCAGCTGGGTTTGGAGGTAGTTCACACGCTGGGTCTCATAGTCAGAAACTTCCACCGATTGGCCATCCATCTGAGACAAACCACTGCAAGCATCAATCTGTTTGAACAAGTTCACCCACGATGGCACAGCAGGATGGAGCACCATGGTGCTGGCTCCACAGGCAGTGGCAGGAACCAGGAACTGTCGCCCCACCACCGCATCAATCAGTGTCACTGAGTCATGACCCCCTTCCAATAGTCCACTGTACTTGACCAGGTTGCCAGTTGCTCGAGTCCGAAGCAAGTGACTTTCAAGGGAGGAAACAAAGACCACAACGTCCAAGACCAGACAGATCTCCAGGGTCTGTGCCATGGCGAAAGCGAGGAACGTAACCCTCAACGCTCAGCTGGTACGGCCGCACCAGCTGGAAGGTGTTGAGCCCGCGGCTGTTCCAAACCACCAACCATTGGATTTCCGGATCACCAAATCTCTTTTCCGAAAGCTGCCGACGCCGGATCCTTTCATTATGCTTTGATCCCGGATCCCCATCTCTGATTGTTTGACCGAATTCCCGCTGAAAAAAAAACGTTGGAGATTCTTCACATGTCACCACCAAACAAAAAAAACACATCATTTTGCAGTCTTTCACCTGAAAAATTCTGTGATTGGTGATTGGTGGACCAATCAATCTCAAATTGAGGATGATTTTATCTCGTTCTGAGGATGGCAACTACAACATATCTGAAGCCACCAACCGATTCAAGACAGGATATTCCAGAATGTCCCCACATATTCCAACGTGTCATTCCCAAGTTGTTGGTAGTTAAATCAAGATCGATGTTCAACCCCAATGCTGCCAGAATGAAATCTCTCCTATTCATTTTGCAGTCTGCACCAAAGTTGACGTTAACTCTAAAGCATTGACAATCCTTGCAAAAATGATCGACATGTCTGGTAGATGTTTTTTCTAGCTGTTCCCTATCTGAGCTTGCTAAGATGTTCTCCATCTTGTAGCCTCCTTTTTCAACATTGCCATATGGAAATGCCACCATGAATGTAGATCATTTTCCGAGGAAAAAAACGCCCAACTTTTCCAAAAATCGACGTATTCGTTTACGGGAGTTTACCTTCCGGGTACCCTCTGGTAATTTAACATAGCTATTGAAAATGGTCATTTATTATGAGTTTTCCCATTAAACATGGTGATTTTCCATAGTTATGTTAGTTTACCAGATGGTAATCCCTAAGAACAAATCCTCCAAGAAACTCCCCAGATCGGTTAACCCCGCCTCCTTCGTCTCGGCTTCGGTGGGGGAAAGCACATCGCTCTCCAGCTCCGAAGCCTCCACGAAAATGGTGGAATTCATTGGGATCAGGATCAGATTGGATAAAAAACCATCAATAAATATAAATAATGTACAGGATGGGGCCATTATAAGTTGGTTTATAACCCCATCTAAATATAGTTATAAGTATCATACCCTATTGTTATCATAGTTATAAACCAACTTAGCTAACTATGGGGCCCCATCCTGTAGGATTATACAATATTTTACCATCAAAATCGGTATTGAATATTTAATTATGACATAAAAAGACGGTATAGTCTGATTAAGAGTTCTTTGGGGAGCCGTTGCTTGTGAAACGATAACAACTTCTGTGAAACGTGCACAACATCTCTGAAACGTGCTCAACATCTCTGAACAGTGCATACCATCTCTGAAACACTGTAAAGAACTCTTGAACAGACTAAATTTAATATATAATAATATATATATATATATGTCAATGTGTGGCCATTCTTCAATGCCATGGTCTTCTGATTCTAGTCACCTGAGTCCAATTTGTCGCAATAATCACCATTTACATGGTAGCATTCGCCATGTGGTTGTAATCCCCTTTTTCTTAGTTTCTGATAGCTGGGTCATAGTTCCCATTCGATGTGACAATCCACAAGCTGTAGCTTTGTGAGTCACCAATCTACTGGTAGCTTTCAATTTCCTCAGCATCTCATCCATCCACTGGGGGCCCTGGCAGAACTGTCGTCTCGTTCCAAAATGTCCTCTTCAACTTCTCCTTGCTTCCTCGCCCAACGCCTGAAGGAAGAATGATGAATCCATATAAATCCCCAGCTTTAACTTCCACAAAGCAACAGCCTACTATGGGCTAATCAGCACTGTTCACATAGATGTTGCAAAAATAACGTCGGTTCAACACTCCCAAAACACTACAAAATCAACAGCAAAGGGGATTGGGTTGGTGTTTTTATCTCATCCCAAGACTTCGTCAATTCAGATCACCCACTTTCCAGGAATTGGGTTGACAATCGGATGATTTTCAGCTGATTTTCCGCTTAACTTCAAAGAACCGCCTGGGTTTTGATGTCCAAAAGTCATCTGTGCAGGTTCATGGAAGTCTCTCAGATTATCCTGAAGAATCTTGGCCGAGGCCCCAAAAAAAGTTTGCTTACCATGTTTTTCTAGTCCTCCCTAGGGCCTGAAAAAATATTCAGGACAAATTATGTGCGTTCGCTTTGGGTATCGAAAACAGATCTTTCACTCCCTACTCTGTATTCAAGTGCATTCAAATCTGCATGCGACCCTGACATCGAAGAATCTTGATGTTCAACATGCTGCTTGTCATAACATTTCTCAGGGTTCAGGAATCTAATAAAGGGTGATTGAATTACCCAAGACAAATCATCGTTCAGTCAAATACCTGGGTTCCATGATCTATGTTGAACTTTGGTTACTTGATCACATTTTGTTTGGTACAATAGTTGATGATGCGTCTCCATAATATTCCTATTTTCAGGGGGGGTCCCTGATGCTATCCAAATAATAGCATATCAAATCTTGAAAACACAGCAGACAAAGTTACCGCTTGAGTATTTTCCCCTACAAGGCTAACAACATTACACACAACTCATGAATTCCATAATCACCATAAAACACCAATCATGTTTAACCTCAAAAACCTATAATCAACCAAAATCACCAATTTTATGTTTAAACAACCACCTCAAAAACCTCGGACCCGAACATTACGCGTTTTTCCCAACGTTGTCCCAACGGATAACGGATCCACCCAGTCGCTTCCCGGTCTCCGTGTTCTCCAGGGTGATCCACCCGGCAGGATGTGCCAGGCGGGCGCGCAGCCGGTGCTGCTCCCGAAGGTGTTTCACCTCGTCGACCTGGATCAAGGTGCCTGGAGGCGTGGCGACATCCAAAAAAGAGTGGGAGTTGTTGGGGGAAGTCCATGGGTTTTGTAGGATGTTTCATTGATTTTAGATGGTTTTTATACTGTTTTTCAACCAACAAGAAGTTGTCTTTCCAGAGGAAATTGTTGGTTTTCATCCAGGAAGATCTACAATTTTTGGTTTGTCTTGTAGAACTACTGTTTAAAAGATAGCATGTTTATGATATCGAAGAAAACGAAGGTCTTGAAAGATTGGGGCCCGTGAAGCCAACGGCCATAAGAATCCATAAACATCAACATCCAGAAAACATCCACAGAAACCAACCACATAAACCAACCATCTACAGTACATGAACATCCTCCACCTAGACCATCCATCAACCATCCACAAATCCTATGTTTCACCGTATGATTTCATTGTTAGTTCGCCATGCCGCCTTCATTGATCTCTGCCAGGATCTCATCATCCTCCGGGTCGATTTTCTCACAGCTGGGGGAGACGAATGCAATCCTGGATCGAAGCTGGCGATGCAAATGTGGGAGATCATGTGGATATGTTGGCTATGTCATATATATATATATACATATATATATATTAATAATACATTATAATAATTATCATTTTTATTCTAAAACATGGGGGTATTTTGGATCTTCGATATGATATATATATATATTAATATGTATATATATATGTCATATGTGTATATATATATACACACATATTATATGTATTCTAGATATTGGGACCAACTATTGAACTACAATATACCAAACACCATGCATCCAAACACTTCCTGAGAAGGTACTTAGCCCTGTAAACTTTACTCCAAACACTTCGTAAGAAGCTTAAATTACAAGAGAGTGTATGAAATTTGCATTCTAGATATTGGGACCAACATATTGAAACATCGTCGATATGACATATGCATCCAAACACTCTCTGAGAAGGTACTTAGCCCTCTAAATAATACTCCAAACACTTCCTGAGAAGGTTAAATAACAAGAAACTATATGAAATACGCATTCTAGATACTGGGACCAACATATTGTGATACCCTCTGGAAATTTGACAGTTTGCTACGGAAGCCATGGCCAATGCCATTCAATGATTTATGATGATTTACTTTGCTTTACCGATTAACAGAAGAGTTTTTTTCATTGATTTTCCCATAGCAGAACGTTAAGTTACCAGATGGTGAATGAAATACTAGTACACTTGTACTAGATATTGGTGGTATTGGGATACTTTATGTGGGGATAACTGGCCATATTCTTCATTTCTGATTGTGGATATACCCTCTGGTTATTTAACAGTTCGCCATGGAAAATCACCATGCTATCAATAAGTAAACCATCTATTTCTATGGGCCATCTATACCATGCCTATGTTACTCATAACCAGAGGGTAATGGTAAATCATCTGATTCTTCATCTGAGAACATGTCCGATTCGACGATGGGGATTTCAGCAAAATATTGAAAAAATCACTCACTGAACCATCGAAGAATGGTAGCTTAACCTACTTAACCTGTAGTCTCTTTTGTTGGGAAAATCATCTATAAATGGTGATCTTAACATATCTTAACGGCTTCTTTGAAAGCCACTGAAAAGGGTAAACCATAAAGACAAGAAACGGAAAAACCATCAAATATAAGGCAAAGACACACGCCATGTCTTTCTGGGGTCATTTCGTCGTAGATATAGGGGTGACAAAAAATTGTGTGTTAACAAGAACAATCTCTTCGGAGTGAAAATGGAAGGTGCAGGGTGCATTCTGGTGTGATTGATTCTCTGGCGCTTTGCTTGTGGGCTACTCGGGATACCACACCTTGAAAATAAACGCAACAAATGATCATTTTACAGAATGGGAAGGTGAGAGCTGGAATGTGCACATGATCATATGATATCATATGTAAATTATACCATCTGGTAACTGGTAAATAACCATAGACCCTGCCAGATAGGGGTTGGAAGATTACCCCAAGATATTCCAAATGCTAGTCACCAATGCAAGTGAGAAGTCATTCCGTGGGCCGCTGTAGTTATAAAATGTTATAAACAAAATTAATCCAACTTACCGTAACTTACCTATCGTTTGGGGTCCTCTTCCTGTGATGAACATCAACATATGTTACAAATATTGATCCAGTGCACTGAGTTAACAGTGCAAAATTCAGGTGGCATGGCCCATTCCCATTTCTGGCTCATTTCTCTTGAGATTTGTTAACAAAAATATTCTACCAAACCCAGCCAGCCACGTGAAAAAAACACCTGCCTTGTCAAGAGGTATAACCCAGGTTTTGGCGCATCCTGGAGCGGAGCAGCGGACGTGGTCGTATCGGCAATGTGGAACCTCCCATTGATGTGAACGTTGATTTATAGACCCCTGTTTGATATAGTTGTAAGATGTTATAAGTAGATATAAGTAGTTATAAGTATCAAAAGCATCCATAAACTGTAGGTATTGGAGTGATTTGCACCAACTTAGCGATTTCGTAAAAGGAAACCCCCCACTTTCTGGGTATCATGTTTGATATTCGCGACTAGCACAACCCAAGTTGAGGCACAGCTACCCTCATCTATTGTTGTATATTGTTGGGAGAGTTATGACATGTTATGACTTGCTTACAGAACCTTGGCGGTTTCTTGATCCCGTGCTAATCATTGTGTCGTAATTTTGACATACATATGAATAATCCCATTTCATCCACCATTATAACATTAAAAATTGCATTCAATCACCTTTGATCATTTTTGCCGGTAAGATGCCACCCGTTTTTCACTTGCCACCAAGGCAACTGCCCCCTCCTCCATGTCTGACTCCGACTCGGCATCTTTCTCCGACTCCACGTCGCTCTCCGACTCCACGGCGGTCTCGGCCCGGTCGACGTCTGCCTAGCAGGTTGGAGCCACCATACAAAGTGGGGCCCCCGAACGATAGCGAAGTTGGTGAACATAACTCCAATAACTATAGTTTATAGGTGATACATCTATAGTTAATGGGCTTATAACCAATTTATAGTTAACCAGTGGATGCAACAACCGGCTATAGCTGGTTAGCTGTTTTCCTGTTTTTGTGTTCCCATGAAAATGGCCATCAAAATGGCCAAGCAATCAACCTACACTGTTACACTGTTCAAAGGTTGAGAATGGGCAGAATGGGCATGCAGACCAAAAAATGCGAAATTCCAAAGAAATCTGGGGATTTAATATGATTTCATCCCTGTTGTCGCCTTACTGGCCCCCGGGCTGACTCTTCTGGAAACTTGAAGGCTCACTTAGAGTCAATGGCTACTGGCATACCTGAATTTTGTTGGAATATCAATGGGTTTCTCTACAGGAGATGATCAATGATCTATTTGGTCGTTTTCTCCACATTTCTATATATATGTTGTATATGCTGGTTTACTGGGTAGTCGGAATACTTGCACGTCTAGTCACTGGCCATGAACCCCCCAAAAAAAACGGGCTCCTCCACTTCTGACGTTTCGTGAGTTGGCGAAGCCTTGACGGTGGTTCTGAATTTTACAAGAATAAATATGTTTTAGTGCGAATTAACATGAATTAACTAATCAATGAATTAACTATAATCATTGTTTATATGATTTGTTTATTGTTTATACATATATATATATATATTATATATATATGAGTACAACAGCCACAGCTTACATAAAAATCTCCAAGAAAAAGTTTATTATTTTTATTGGGTCCACGCGTGCGCGCCACAACAAGTTTATTTTGGTGTATTTAGGATCACGTGCGCGGACCCAAGGAAAAAAACAATTAAAGTTTAGGCATTGGCTAAGTAAGACAATAATCACAAGCTTATGATATACATATATATAATATATACATACATATAATACCACAATTATAAGTGGGATAAACATAGAAAAGCAATATAATTAGTGGAACTAATGATAAGATTTAATGGTTCATGTAATGGGATTATCAAAGGATTGAACCATCAACGATGGGAGAAGACATGGGATGAATGGGGTCTGGTCATCCAAGCATCATTAATTAGGAATTCCTTATAATGGGTATCTTAACCCCTAGTGATTATGGGATGGTCATCCCCTATGGCCAGTGAACCATTTGACCATGGCACATATGTTATAATTTAGAACGCAACAAAGTAGCATTTGAGCACTGTATCCATGTTAACGCTACCGAGAATCCAAGTACATATCATGAAAGAAATTGTCATGATGACATCCACATCCACGCCCTACACTTACAAACCCTTCTTGACTACACAAATCAGGAAGTTCAGGACTAATTGGTTGTTCAAACACCTCTTCAAAATAGTCCTTTAGCCAGTCTGGTGGGACTATAGTCCTAAACGGGGTCGAATAGCTATAACCCTGCTGTTATTGTTGAACATATTGAAGTTATTACAGATCCATACATATATTGTTGATTATTTTCCACATACAAATAGAGTTGGCAAGAAGAAGAAATTGCAGAACTCACAAATCCGGAAGATCTCCGATAATTTCAAAGGATGAAATTGATATGTCCCAAGTGGTTTTCACTAATTATCAGTTTTCACTAATTATCAGGGCACTATGAAAACGATTGGGACGTCTAATCCAAGTAGGATTTTCTTGGATTTTCTCCCAAGTCCTGGGGGTATTTATTCATTGCCAATCTTAGATACCCTGCAAAAGACACAAGTCTTAGCTGGTGAACGTAGATATTCCTATTATCTATTTATAGCAAAAGGATTACCCTCTGGTAAACAACAAACATAGCTATTTATAGTTGATTTACCCATTAAAATTGGTGATGTTTCATAGTTATGTTAGTTTACCAGAGGGTAAACTACTTATCCAGTCGGTTGACCTGAATATAACTGGATTGGGGTAACTATCCCCACATGGATTGATTTTTGGTGAATTGGATTGAATTGTTATTGTTTACCCTCTGGTAATTTAACCCATAAGAATAACTGTAACAATTAATATATGACAATCAGATACCATAACAATCGCTTTTCTCCAGTTACCTATACAGTAAGGTATCTGATTCTTACTAGCTTACCTTGATTCTCCAGCTACCTTTCCAGTTACCTATTAAAAAATTAATATCTACAGGATGGCCCCCCCTAGTTTTAAGTTGCTTTATAAGTTGCTTTACAACCCCAGCTAAATATGTTTTTGATGTTATTTGCGTATCATACACCAACTTGTTATAACATAGTTATGTTCACCAACTTAGCTAACTGGGGCCCCATCCTGTATGGACAATCACCCATTTTTTAGAGGTATAAGGTGGTGCCCCCAAGATAGCTAAGTTGGTTTATAACTCCAATAACTATAGTTTATAGGTGATACATCTATAATTAATGTGCTTATAACCAGTTTATAACTTGGGGGCACCACCTTGTACCTGGACACCAAGCTGTCCCGGATGCCAAGGAACTGGAGAAAGTGCTGCCTCCGTTTCATCTTCCGTTTCATCTTCCGTTTCATCTTCAGACACCTCGAGGGCACCATCGAGGGAACGGTCAAAAATGGCGTCTCTCTGGTCATGTGTTGCAGTTTCCTACGGAAACCATATAGTATATAAAAATAAAACATACTGTAGTTTATATATAATATATATATATATATTATATATATATTATATATATCATGTAATATCATAATATATATATATATATTATATCATGTATGAGTGATTATATTATATATATATGTGTGTACAATATAATAATATTATATATATACACATCATTTCCCCATAAAACGCTCGGGGGTCGCAACCTGGCGGCACCTCGCTCTCGCCACTGGAGCGCTCTTCACCTTGTCTCACGGCCCAGTGCCTGGATCCAGCACTGGGGATGGGTCAGAGCCGTGGGACCTGATATGGGTAGGAAAACCATTGGAAAACCATCGGAAAACCATAGGAAAATGGGAAAATCATAGGAAAACCATAGGAAAATGGGAAAATCATGGGAAAACTATAGGAAAACCATAGGAAAATGGAGGTTTACCCTCTGGTAAACTAACATAGCTGTTGAAAATCATCACTTTCAGTGGGTAAATCAACTATAAATGGACCATGTTCAATAGCAAACTGTTAAATTACCAGAGGGTAATTCCCCCAAAATCTGGTAATTATAGGTAACTTGACCCAATAAACATATAGAAACCTAAGTCATAGTTGAGAATAGATGGTAGCCTGAAATAGATCTAATACCCTAAGTCATAGCTGGAGTTACTGGATGTTTGTTGCCCCAAAATATGGTAATTTCATAGGTCATTGAAGCATGAAGAAATGGACTTGAAATGGAATGAATAACACGTAAGTTGACCACACGTAAGTTAACGCTTTATTTCTTGATATTTCTTGCTAAACGCGTCAGAATTGTTCAACAAAATATCATGTGATGAATAATCAGTGGCATTTATCTTTATTTCAGATTTGGGAATTGTTTAAAACAATTGCCCAGCGTGCTTCTCCGCATTCCAAATACTCAACTCATTTGGGATCAAACATGGCAATGGAAAAACATCTATCAAAATTCAGCAGCAAAAGCCCAACAAAACGATGCCATAAAAACTTGGAAACCTGGAATTTCCGTGTTTTTTTTAATCGAACATTTGCCAGTAGCTGGTGGCACATTGAAAACGGCACTAATCTTCTCCAGGGATCTACTGGATCCACAAAAAAAACATCCATCAATGTTTGCAACTTAAATCTCAATTGTATCTCAAAACTTAGTGGTGAAATCCGGCAAACATCTCCTGTTTTGGGATCAATCCCATGTGATTTCTAAAAAAAACCTTCCAAAACTCGTGTTGATCATCCATTTCTCACCATCCCCGGGGGATGTTTTTGGGGATTTTTTGGGGATCCCTGGGGGATCACCTCCCCGTCTCGGTGTTCCGCAGCGTGATCCAGCCCTGCGGATGCGCCAGCCGTGCCCGCAGGCGTTGCTCAACTTCCACCAGCTCCAACACGCGCACCCTGCTGCCTGCGGAAAATCATGGGAAAAATACCCAAGAAATCCATAGAAATCCATAGAAATCCATAGAAATCCCAAAAAAAAACATGGCTTATGATGATTATATGATGATTAATGGATGATTATATGATGATTATATGATGATTATATGAACATGACTGGTTGGTCTTTGGATATATCACCTTTTAGATATAGTTATTAGTGTTTAATTGTTAATAACCTATAAATTAGTTTAATAGTTACCAAAAACTATGGCTTATGATGATTAATGGATGATTAATGGATGATTATATGATGATTAAATGATGATTAAGGGCTTACCCTCTGGTAATGGCTGACAGTTTGCGAACTTGAAAATGGCCCAGTCGAAATAGTTGATTTACCCATTAATAGCATGGTGACTTTCCATAGTTATGTGGCTGTTTACCGGAGAACATGACTGGTTGGTGGTTGAGCCACCCTTCTGAAAAATATAAGTCAGTTGGGATTATGAAATTCCCGATATGATGGAAAATCAAAAAATGTTCCAAACCACCAACCAGATGCAGCAGTCAACATCAGCAGAAAAAAACATGAAAAACCAGGGTTTTCTCACATTGATCTACCTTTTAAGGGTTATATGGAATGCCTGCTGCTTGTCCAATTTGGAAGGGCATGTATATGTATCCAATTGGGCTTTGATTGGTTTGAACTTTGGGATCTAAGCATCCACCAAAAATGAAAAATCATTGGAATTTTAGCAGCATCAAGTGCCGTCTGGCAAGCTAACCAGGCAATTCTACGAAAAAACGGTGGGTTTTCCCTGCCATGTTCCGTTACCCCTTCCATTACCAGCAAATGTTGTGGATTTCACCTTCCATACAGACTTGCCGGATTAAACCTCAGAATGGTGTCATGAGTGAAAGAATAAATCAGTACAGGAAACAAATCAAAGGCACACATATAATCTTATATTATAGACATAACCCTGCAAGCAAAATGTCATTCAAATTGATGGCAACACGTTGGAGGAGTAAACTACCCACTCGGTTTTCCCAGCTTTGTGGTCTCATATAAAAACAATTAAAAACATAATATATATATATGGTTGGTGGTTTCAACCATTTTGAAAAATATTAGTCAATGGGAAGGATTATCCCATATATTGTGGAAAATAAAAAATGTTTGAAACCACCAACCAGAATATATATATATACACTTTAAATCTTCATCGCGCTGACCTTCTTCAAGTTCCTCAACGATTTCATTGTCCTCCGGGCTGATGTTCTCGCATGTCGGGGAGACGAAAGCTGTCCTGCCGGAAAGGCCCGGGCCAAAGTTGATGAACAGAGGGGGACTTCCACACCCTGATGTTTGGTGATTTACCATCTGGTTATTTAACATTGCCATGGAAAATCACCATTTTTAATAGGTAAACAATCTATAAATGGGCCATTTCCCATGGCTATGTTAAATAACCAGAGGGTAGGTCAACTTGGCATGGCTCATCTAAGCCATGCACGTTTAAAAGATGTTTGATTCGCCTGGTTTCAGGGCTAGTCTGCCAACATCGCAAACAAGGGACAGACATTTTTTTTTACCCGTTTCATCTAGAATCTACCATTGATCTTGTGGTTGATCCAGTCAACACAGGTAAGACCTCTGTAGCTGGAGCTGTTAGAAAGTCTCAAACTGATATTTTTTTTCACTTGGATCGTTCCGGTTGAATCTTCTGTCATGGTCTGGTGATAGCACAACATCCTACAGACGGTTGGTCATAGTCTGCATTACCCTCTGGTAATTTAACAGTTCGCTATTGAACATGACCCATAGAAATAGTTGAACCGAACTTAAAGATGGTGATTTTCCAGTTCGCAAACTGTAAGCCTTTACCAGAGGGTACCAGTCATATGTTTTTTGCATGTTCCCCAACAGAATGACCCAGGTCTTCCATCTCTAGGACGAACATTTACCCTCTGGTAAAGTAAGAGTTTGCGAACTGGAAAATCACCATCTTTAATGGGTAAATCAACTATTTCTATGGCCATTTTCTCAACATCAAAGTGTTGGTTTACCATAGGGTACCACTTAAACATGACCCAAATGTAGGTAAATCATATACAGTACATCCAATCACCTAGGGCATTGTGTATGTGCTCTCCATGGGAAAAAATCAATCGATTCCTTCTTCACCGACACGGGGTTTCCAATATGTTCATGTGTTTTCCAATTTTTATTCTAGATATTTGACTAGAGGCTACTCCGGGGTGCATCCCACTTAAATCTAAAAAATAAACGTAATATATATGGATCCTGGATATATATGGAATATCCATGAATATCCCCACTTTTAAAAAAACGTTTATATGGGATATTGTGGGAGGAACGGCCCATCCAACGGCGCCTGGTCAAAACGTAGAGACCTTCGCCTTCCTAGCGCTGCGGTGACAAAAAGAATGGACCCGAGATGATCCGAGAATACCCGGCCTGGTAAAACGTAGAAAAAACGATGGAAAGATCCACCATTTTTAATGGGAAAACTATGGAAAGATCCACCAGTTTTTAATGGGAAAATATACTAGAAATGATTATAAATGGTCATTTTCAATAGCTATTTTGACATAACCAGAGGGTATGTAAAGATATGGGGCCCCCGAACGATAGCTAAGTTGGTGAACATAACTCCAATGTCACTATGGTTTATGGTACTTATAACGAACTAGTGATTGGGGCGAATCTAAACCAACTTATAACTAGGGGGCCCCACATTGTAAAGATATGGGGATGGGTCAAGACCTATTACGACTCACCAAAAAAAATGGTGGAATTGGGGGTTTGACACCAAAAAAAAAAACATATTGATGACATATCCCCCAAATTTGATGCAGACGAGAATTTCCTTGAAACCCCAGGTTTTGAATAGCTAGATGGTGGAGTAAGTCACCTACGCCTCTGGATCCATCCGCAACAAAGAGCCTGGGAAGATTCCAGAGGTTTTTTTCGCCCAAAGTTTGGTTCCTGAGATAACATGTTATAACATGGGAGTATCCAATCAAGATGAGGTAGTCAGATGTTGTCAACATACAGAAGAAAACTTGGGAAGCATGAAAAAATATAAACAAATATCCCTTATCACATCTTATCACTCAATTTTCACACAAGATGCCACACTGATGAAATGTCGTCGTTCCAAACTAAGACTAGGTTTCTGGTCATCTCGCACCAACGAAGAAATACCGCAACTTGTGCACACTGTCCGGGCAGATCGATCAAGAAAATTATGATGCGAATCATTCCAGTAAACCATTATCATAACGTTGGATATCTTCAGTATACCGTACACACCATTTTATGACACATTAAATGGATTTAAATGGCCATAATTGGGGCTACAATTGGGTATACACTTTTTCAATGGCTATAACTGGGGATGATGAAACCAGAATTCCGTACTCAAACCAGGCCCCAAACCAGGCATAACCAACCTCTGAGACTTCACTTTCAGCTTCACTTTCAGCTTCACTTTCAGCTTCTGCCTCCAAGGCTCTCTGTGCGTTCGGGTTTTTTTTGGGTTGAAGTCCTGGGTCAAAATTCTCTAAATGTTAATAATTGTTAATAATTGTTAATAATGGTTAATAATGTTTAATAATGGTGGTTATGGTTAACCATTATGGGAATTTTAACCATTGCTGGTTGTTGGTTTTTCGCCTACCCGTCTGAAAAATGATGGAGTGAAAGTCAGTTGGGATGATGACATTCCCAATATGATGGGAAAAATTAAAAATAGTTGAAACCACCAACCAGTCTATGTCTTCTTGGGAATTCCATTCCAGTACCCTGAATTGATCAAAGACTAGCCACCCTGGTTTTCACAGAAAAGTAGTGTGTTAATCGATGTGCATCGCCCTGGAACGTCCATGTGAGGCGCATTTGCTCGTTGCAAGCCGCCTCAGTTTCTGAAGGATTGCTTCTGCTGCTAGATGATCGCCCGTCCTCCTGCATCATCACGCATCACGCAATGGTCATCGTGAGTCAGTGTCACCCTTTCCATGAAAAGGTTGCAAAATTCACAAGTCCGAAATCTGAAGAAACCCGTTGTGAGATAACATCATTATACATCAATATACATCATGTTGGTGCGGTCTTAAAAAATGTTCCTGATGCACAAGAGCAAGCTGGAAGGACTTGTAAGTAGTACCTGCCTTTGGTCATTGCTGAAGTTGAAATTCAAACGTCGATCAGCAGGGTGGAATGAACCGTTCAAACCAGCCGTTAGACAGTGGTTACAGTAAGCCCTCCCAAAAAAGTGGGCTGGACCAAAAAATGGGTACGCAAAAAACAAAAAACATGGTCTATCATTCAAAGATAATGATTGATATAGATGTAATTATACACATGTATAAATATATATATACACTGTATATATATATATATATGCTCTCCCATTATGTCCCAACAGTATGTCCCAAAAAATCATCCTTTATATCCCATCTTTTTAGGGAAATCCCGGGGCGATGCGGGTTTCCCCACATGCCTCATCCACACTGTCCGCTTCACTAGCATCCACAGGGGAAGTGACCTGGCGACAAGAGAAGTTTATTCAGAGTCTCGGGAGATCCCGGATGGGTCAAGTTTGTGTATAATTTCCAGGTGTCCAACTGTTCTATTATAACTCCAATATGGCCATAGTTTTTAAAAGATCAGTTGAAACTGATTGAAACCATTCAAACCATAGAACTGAGTAAAAGCTGGGGTCCCGCATTTACGAAATCGCTGACGTGGTGCAAATAAGTCCAATAACGTCCAATAACTATGGTTTACGATACTTATTACTATAGCATTATTCATGGGGTTTATAAATCAACAAACATCACTGGGGGGCCCACATTATATGTTGGCTGTTTCTCAAGTCATTGGGGTGACAAAAAAGCATTGGTTTTCCGTGAAATATGACCGATTTTGGATCCCCACAAATCCACCATTTCAAGAAAATCCCAATATACATGTGTATATTCTGGGACTAAAATCATGGCCATAAGATATAGTGTATTAACAGATAGATATCTATTAATTATCTATCTAAGATATCCAATAGATATCCAATAGATATCCATATTACTCCTATCTAAAGTCGTCATGGATGACCATGGTGACGACAGGGGATCACCTCTGGCGGCGAAAGCGGTGGCAGCGACGCTTCCAGTTTGTCTGCCCAACGCCTGGCGGAGGCGGGAAAAATGCCATGGCATCATAGGTAGATGTGGCTCACTATTGTGTGTATGTTTGGCTATCTATCTATGTTTGGCTATCTATCTGTGTTTGGCTATCTATCTGTGTTTGGCTATCTATCTGTGTTTGGTTACCTATCTATCTATCTAATCTAATCTAATCAATTCTAATCTAATCTATCTATCCATCTATCTATCCAGTCTATCTATCTAGTGTGTGTGTGTATATGTATACTGGTGAGTACTATATTCATACCCTGCCAGCAGCTGGGGGGTTCCGTTTTGTCATGGAGGTACCGCCTTGCCTCATCCAGTCGTCATGGATGATCATGACTTAATATTGAAACAACACGGTGACCTGGACCTTCCCTATTAAAAAAACAAAAAAACGACTCCAAACGTTCTTTCTTTCCATTTTAAATGGAACAATATGCCTTTCTTGTTTCGAAATCTCGAGTAGCTGATTTTGATGATTTCTCCTGCTATGTTGACTACGGCCATGTTTGTTCCGTGAAAGCCCCATCTATCTTAACTCCTCATGTTTCCCATCATCGGAACAAGATTCTTGACCTTCCTAATGCATCCAAATTCCGAAGATTACCGGATGAAAACAACCAAATAGGCCGCCAGTTCATGTCGGATTTCCCAGTTTTGCTAACTCATATTTACGGAAACATCACGAAAATATTTAGGGATGTCGGATATCCCAATTGCTATCAGTGGATTCCATGCCATCATCCCAGTGAAAAACCCAGGGGCGACTTTTGCGTGTTTTTTTTCATGTTTTTCTTTGGACAACGATGATTAATGTCAACCCCGGATTAATAAACCATGGTTTATTAATTAGGGGGTACTCCTCCAATAGTCATACTCTGATACTTAAATGGTACCCCCCCAATTGAACAGCCTAGGGGTTTATTAATCCAGGGTTGACATTAATGATGATTTAAAAGATTTTAAAAGCATGAAATATGATGAAAGCTGCAGATCAACTCATGTGATGCGCCATGGCATGCTATGCCCTACCGGCCCAGGCACCTTCCAGTGCTGGTATTAACCAACGTGATCCACCCATCAGGCTCCGCAATGTGCGCCCGCAGACGATTTTCGTCAGAGAGATCGACCAGCTCCAGCACTTGTAGCCGGGTGCCTGCCAGAAATCTGTAGCCGGGTCCCCAGTCCGCAGCCAGATGGACCCCAAAGCTGTGAAATGATGTGGTTTGAAAGATTGGAATCTTGGGTTCAAATCAAACAACGAGCAAATGATATGTGAAATGATGGATGTGTTTGCTGAACTGAGCCTTAAAGCCTTAAAGATTCATTGAAGAATTTGTCTGAGATATTTCTGAAGCCCTGTGGGCACCCCTTCAAACCTCTGGAATCCCTAAAAAATTGAAAGTAATTGGCACCTGCTCTTTAGCTGTGATATATATATATATATATATGTAATATACATCCATCATCGTCCATCTATCTGTCTATATATCCATGGAAAAAAATATCTAAATATCTAAATATCTATCTAATCCATCATAATCCATCATAATCCATCACTGATTATGAGCCTAGTTAAGACTTATTCATTTAAGATGTCCTTTTTTAGCGCTGTGGGGCACCCCTTCAAACATAGAGGAGTTGCTAGGGAGACTAAAGTCATCTCAAGCCGAGTCCCTTAAAAAAAAAAAATGCCAACTCCTCTTTAGCTGTGATAGTTAGAAAAAAATACACATACATCTATAGTGTATATATATAATTATATAAATAATCTATACATACATCTACCTACATACATCTACCTACATACATAATCATATACAGATATATATATATGATACATACATACATACATATATATATGATACATATATATATGATACATACATATATATATATATATCTATCCATATCTATACCTATATCACCACCTCTGGTTCCAAAAAGTGCCTTCCAAACTGGACCTCACCTTCATCGAGCTCATCTACTAACTCATCGTCATCTGGATCCAGATTTTCACAGCTGGGCGACACAAAGGCGGTCCTCTGCGTACGGGGACCTGGGACCCTAAGACCCTGGGACCTGGTCTAAAGAAATGATGGCTCTCCCATTCCGACATCATAGGACCTCCTATTCCCATGACTTGAATCATGTTCACATTGAATCCGACGCTTAATGTTGGTCCACAAAAAGATGACGAAAAGCGGTTCCAGAAACGGATGTGAAAAGATACGAGATCTCCCCCACTTTTCTCCAGTAATCCAACGTGGCTGGCTGGAAAATCCGCCGAATTCTTCGATGATTTTCCCACTGAAACCCACCCATCATGTAGATCCATGGAGACCGCAAGGGATTTCCAGATTTCCCACTGCTCTTTGCATCCTTTTTGTGGATCTTCCCCTAAATCGTGGCTGCTAAGTCACCCGAATCATATATGGATCATAATATATATATATATATAACTGTCTATAATATAATCATATGATATCTATAATATATAACTTTATATATAAATCATCCCTCATGAATCAAACCGACGGTCTCCTTGTCAAGATATACAGGCCGGGGCCATCTTCCTGAAAAAACATGCTGGAGATATTTTGGCTGCTGGGTCATGTTTCATAAGCCATGATTACATCATGGGCAATCTTTTATAGCTGGTGATGGTCATTTTCCAAATCTATGAAATTACCATCTGGTTATTTAACATAGCCATGGAAAATCCCTCATAAATGATCATAAATGGAGGTTTTAATGGGAAAATCATCTATAAATGGGCCGTTTTCCATGGCTATGTTAAATAACCAGAGGGTAAAGGATGAAACTCACCATCCAGTTGGCTGGGGATAGGATATTGCGCCACCAGATCAGGCCAGATTTGTTGTTTATGTTACCCACCAAGTTAAGGTGAAGTTTTTGAGAGCGTTACAGAAGTTATGTCCTAATTTAAAGGAGGGTATATATAACCATGGGAATAGCCGTTTACAACCTCAACTGCACCTATTTTTCATAAGATTTCGTTGCTGTACAATGTCTGTGTTCGAAAAATGTCCGTTCAATCCAGTGGACCATGGGAATTTCTACGAGGATTTCATTGACAAAGACAAGGGTTTGGCAATGTCATACTGGCAACGGCATATTCACCATGTTCAAGCTCATTGCTATTTTGGACCAATCCATTCATCCTATTACTATTAGGGGCCTAATTATATTGTGTTAGTATTTAAAACGAGTTTTTTCTGTTTCAAAATTGGTTAAGTTCCGTTTAAAAAATCTAATTAAAATGTTGCCAACAATTGGATTTCGATAGTTCCCTTAATATTAAATAAATTATGTAAAACAAACAAAACACTATTTACAAAATGGGACCCTAATAATAAAACACCAGGTGTGATTCTATTTTATTAATAGGGGATAAAGACCACTATTTCACCATCCTGTTTTCATATTGATTCTCAATTCTCAATTGCCACAATTAAGAACGCAATTGTAAGCAACCAAAAAAAAGTGCCAATCCAATCCTATTTTCATTTATTGGGGAAGTTTTAGTAATAGGGGAACATATCGGGGAAGAATCCCATTTATCCTGTTATAAGGAAAATCACTGAATTACACTATAGAGATGTGTAAAGAGCTCGTTTCAAGCTAAAGGCAGGAAACAATTGGAAAAAAACAATCGTTTATTTTTTTGCGGTGATGGTCTACAATAATCCCCCCCAAATGCTTTTTATGTGGCTTGGAATTGCAACAATCTTTCAACCCGTTAAGTTATTGTAGTCATGGTAGTTCCGATACCCCCGACATGGGAATCTTGGTGCTTCACCCGTTGGTCACGTCCAGTTTGGTCGTCCCCAGGGAGGAACGTTTCTAGGAAACCAAAAGACCACTGCACTCGCAAAACGTTATCAAAGACGGCACTATTTTACAAAAAAATCCACTAATTTCAAGTACCCTCTGGTTATTTAACATAGCCATGGAAAATGGCCCATTTATAGATGGTTCACCTATTAAAAATGGTGATTTTCCATGGCTATGTTAAATAACCAGATGGTAAATGGCCACTAAAAGATCCCATTTCTAATGGGATCTAATGGGATTGCATCATTGCCACTCCTGGAATTAACAAGTTTATGGCCCCCATTTCATGAAACCCCCATCATATCACGATTTTTCCTACGTGACAAAATCCAGAGTTTCTGATGAAATCACCATTGATGGATGGTTAGACCATGTAAGACCTCCATGTTTGATCCATTTTTGATACGTAGGCAAAAACCTTGAGGCTTAAACCACCATTTGATGACGCCTCAACCCTTCCACAGTTGGTTCACCTCTGGAAGATCTTCGGCCTCTGTCTCAGGACCAGGAGCCTGAAAGGAACAGCTTGCCGGACCCGAAATGTTGTTATTCTCCTATCCATGTGGTTAAAACAATGCCATGTTTACCATCCCCCCATTTTTATCACCATAAATTTATAGGTGGTATGTTTACCATTCCCAGTCATGGGTGGTTTATGACATTGTTTTAACATGTTTTAACCACATTAGATCCTATTAAATCCCATTGGATCCCATTAAATCACCACTTTTCATGGTGAAATCCCATGAAAATCCCATTAAACATGCCATAAATGAAAATAGGCTACAGGCGAAATCCATTGGATATCGCGTAAAGGCCTAATTTTCTCCTTAGTTGATGGCCAAAAACTGGGTATACACCATATTCAGACACACTCATGGGACGGTTTACATGCGTGTATATGTTGGATTATATTGGATTATATATATATATACACACCTGAGAAGGGGGGGGACGAAAGCCAGCCCCCAAAGCAATGCTCATGGTTTTTTTTGTCTCTGCGCTGAAGTATCTCGAAGTAAAGGCGGTTGTTACAGTAGTTGTTAGCATTCCACGATACTTTCGTCCAGATCAGCTCCAGCTCGGCCGTTTTAGGCCAAATCCTGGCCAGGAGCCTTTTGGAGCCAGATCCAGAACAGAAACCTGTTGGAAGCAATTTTCTGCCATTTGGCGGCCATTCGGCCGGCTATTGCATTTCGCTTTTGGGAAGAACGGGAAACGGCTACATATACAATTTTAGAACGAACAGCAAGCAAACAGAAGCTATGAACCAGCATTGTGAAGCTAAAAACACATAGACCCTTTTACACACAGACCCTTGCAGACTACACACAAACGTTTTTACACACAAACGCTTTTACACACAGACACTTTTTTACTTCGACACACAGATGCTTTTACACACAGACCCCTTTACAATAGCTTTACACAGAAACACGTTGACACAGAGACGCTTTTACAGACAAACAGCTTCACACAGACACACAGACGCTTTCACACACAGACCCGTGTACGCAGGGACAGCTTTACACACAGACGCTTTTACACATAGACCCTTTGACACACAGACCCTTGCACACACAGACGCCGTGAGACATAGACGCTTTTTTCGCACAGACACTTTTTGACACATAAACATCTTGACACAGAAATGCTTTTACACAGAGACCTTTTTACACACAGACACTTTTAAACAGAAACCTTTTTACACACCGACCCTTTTACGCATACACACAATGTTGCACACAGACCCTTTTACACACAGACGCTTTTACACACAAACACTTTTACACACATACGCTTTTACACACAAAGCTTTTACATACAGACCTTTTTACACACAAACATCTTTACACCGAAAGGCTTTTACACAGAGTCGTAGTAGCACACAGACTGTTGGACACACAAACATCTTGACACAGAAATGCTTTTACACGCAGACCTTTTTACACACAGACACTTTTAAACACGAACCTTTTTACACACCGACCCTTTTACGCATACACAGAATGTTGCAAACAGACCCTTTTACACACAGACGCTTTTACACACAAACACTTTTACACACATACGCTTTGACACACAGAGGCTTTTACACACAGAAGCTTTTACACAGAGACCCTTTTACACACAGAAGCTTGTACACACAGACCCTTGTACACACAGATATATCTACAGAGAAACGCTTTTACACAGAGACGCTTTTACATAGAAACATCTTCACACAGAGACGTTGCGGCATGTTTTTTTTACCTTCATTTGTAAAGCCGAAAAATGGTCAAATAGTTGGTGTTTTCGTGTTTTTTGAACAGTCTCGGAGCAAAAAACTCCGAAAAAAAAAACGTGTTTTCTGACGCCTCGCAAGCCCGGAGCCTTTTGGAGCCAGCTTGTGGGACTTTCGCGGCTTGCGGGCCGGCAACTAAAAGGGCCTTCTGGGATCAAGGGGAAACGGCCATTTTTAGCCAAATCCTGGCCGAAGCCTTTTGGAGCCAGCTTTTAAGACTTTCGCGGCTTGCGGGCCGGCAACGAAAAGTGCCTTCTGGGCTCAAGGGGAAACGGCCGTTTTAGGCCAAATCCTGGCCAGGAGCCTTTTGGAGCCAGATCCAGAGCAGAAACCTGTTGGAAGCAATTTTCTGCCATTTGGCGGCCATTCGGCCGGCTATTGCATTTCGCTTTTGGGAAGAACGGGAAACGGCTACATATACAATTTTAGAACGAACAGCAAGCAAACGGAAGCTATGACCCAGCATTGTGAAGCTAAAAACACATAGACCCTTTTACACACAGACCCTTGCAGACTACACACAAACGTTTTTACACACACAAACGCTTTTACACACAGACACTTTTTTACTTCGACACACATATGCTTTTACACACAGACCCTTTTACAAGAGCTTTACACAGAAACACGTTGACACAGAGACGCTTTTACAGACAAACAGCTTCACACAGACACGCTTGTACACACAGACGCTTTTACACACAGACCCGTGTACGCAGGGACAGCTTTACACACAGACGCTTTTGACACACAAACATCTTGACACAGAAATGCTTTTACACAGAGACCTTTTTACACACAGACACGTTTAAACAGAAACCTTTCTACACACCGACCCTTTTACGCATACACAGAATGTTGCACACAGACCCTTTTACACACAGACGCTTTTACACACAAACACTTTTACACACATACGCTTTCACACACAGAGGCTTTTACATACAGACCTTTTTACACACAAACATCTTTACACGGAAAGGCTTTTACACAGAGTCGTAGTAGCACACAGACTGTTGGGCACACAAACATCTTGACACAGAAATGCTTTTACACGCAGACCTTTTTACACACAGACACTTTTAAACACGAACCTTTTTACACACCGACCCTTTTACGCATACACAGAATGTTGCAAACAGACCCTTTTACACACAGACGCTTTTACACACAAACACTTTTACATACATACGCTTTGACACACAGAGGCTTTTACACACAGAAGCTTTTACACAGAGACCCTTTTACACACAGAAGCTTGTACACACAGACCCTTGTACACACAGATATATCTACAGAGAAACGCTTTTACACAGAGACGCTTTTACATAGAAACATCTTCACACAGAGACGTTGCGGCATGTTTTTTTTACCTTCATTTGTAAAGCCGAAAAATGGTCAAATAGTTGGTGTTTTCGTGTTTTTTGAACAGTCTCGGAGCAAAAAACTCCGTTTAAAAAAAAAACGTGTTTTTTGACGCCTCGCAAGCCCAAAACCACGGTAGTTGCGGTGTTTTTTTGCTCCTGGAACCAAAAACCACGGTGTTTACAGTGTTTTATGGCCAGAACCTAGCAAAAACAGTGGTATTTACGCAGTTTTCAGCATGTTGCAAGACGTACTTTTGCCAGGCCAAACGCACAAAAACACCGTAAATTACAGTGTTTCGGCATTTGAAACCCGATGAAAACCGTCAAGAACCCCCAACAAGGTAAAGCCGAAAAATGGTCAAATAGGTGGTGTTTTCGTGTTTTTTGAACATTCTCGGAGCAAAAAACTCCGTAAAAACCGTGTTTTTTTGACGCCTCGCAAGCCCAAAACCACGGTATTTGCGGTGTTTTTTGCTCCTGGAACCAAAAACCATGGTATTTACAGTGTTTTATGGCCAGAACCTAGCAAAAACAGTGGTATTTACGCAGTTTTCAGCATGTTGCAAGACGTACTTTTGCCAGGCCAAACGCACAAAAACACCGTAAATTACAGTGTTTTGGCGTTTGAAACCCGATGAAAACCGTCGAAAACCACCAACAAGTGTCCAAAATGGAGCATCTCGTTCGGGCCCAAAAAACCAGGCAAACGGCAGGTCGGTTTTTGAGCTCTCCCCCCCCCAGGCTCCGGCCTCACCTTTCAAAAACGGACCGATTTCGGGCCTCCCCCCCCCCCACACCCCCTAGATTAGCTTCGCTTCGCTTCGCTTATACCTATACTCAAGCCCAGGCCTTCGGCTGGCTTTCGTGATATATTTATTAACCAGTTTAGAATTGGATCATATTGGATTATAATTGGATTATAAATGGTTTATATATGTATAATTGGATTATAAATGGATTACAATGGATTATAAACCCATATAAATGGAATTTATATATGTTAAGATATTGGTTCACGGTTTACATGGGCGACTGTAAAGTTGTCCCCCAAATCGAACTGGTGATTCCACTGGTGAAAGGGAAAAAACTGCTTCGGCGGATGGTATCATCATCCAAGGGATCATCGGTCATCGACGATATCTGGTTGGTGGTTTCAACCCCTCTGAAAAATATGAAAGTCAGTTGGGGTTACTATTCCCAATATATGGAGAAAAAAAAATATTCCAAACCACCAACCAGATACCCTCTGGTTATGACTAACATAGCCATGGTATAGATGGCCCATAGACGTTTTTAATAGCATGGTGATTTTCCATGGCGAACTGTTAAATAACCAGATGGTAACTCCAATGTCACTACGGTTTATGGCACTTATACGAGTAACATCTTATAACTACACGTAATGACCATAATGAGGTTTATAAAAAACCTAATAATATCTTGTAACTGGGGGGAGGCCACATCCCACTTATCCATTTGTTGGATTCAGAATAGATGAAAACAGATAAACATTGATGAGCACAAATCCAGCATGTTGGGTGTTATCCCCATTCCAAATTTCTATACGGTGTGACTGATATCCACCCCATAATATCTCCATGGGAATATCAACATTGAGTGGGTAAATATATAAGCTAAATTTCTATAATTCCAAGCCATATGTTTTTGTCATTTGGGGCATCCATCGTTACTCAACATATGGTCCAGTCATTCAGCTAGGTTGCTACACAACCACCCATGAAATACACCCACCGTCCGAGTTCAAAGTGGTTCAGCAACCATATGGAGGTTTCCTCAAATGGGGAGTAGTCCAAATCATCCAAGTCATTGGACCATTTAGAGTCCATTGAGTATTTAAACCCCCGGTGACTTGGACCCACAAATCAAGAAACCACCATATACCCTCTGGTAATTTAACAGTTCGCTATTGAACATCACCATGCTATTAATGGGAAAATCCACGAAATTTCTATGGGTCATTTTCCATAGCTATTTTGACATAACCAGAGGGTAACCGCGGCACTCCTCTGAGACCTCTCTAGGACTCTCTGGGACCTCGAATTCCGAGGACGCGGATTTCGCACTGGGAGCCACTGGGACAAGGTCCAAACATGAAGCGGACCTGTCTTGAGATGTGTATGTGTGTCCATCTGTAGGGATATTATGGTATGAATATTCCTACTTTCATAGTGATATATACATACATATATATATATATAAGACAATACCATATAATTTAATAAGATTTAATATACGTCGTAGAATTTTCATGTTATCAGACGTTGAATCATATAAAACCAACAGATAAGACTCGAATTCATTCTTTTGAGATTCGAAAACTGTTGATGATTCACAATTGAGAAAATTCCATGACGTAAGCAGCTTAACCCTCTGTCAACACTGATACTCCCATGGATTGTGCCCAATAGGGACATGGTTAGTTCTTACTATCGTTAATGTATATACAATACATATATATATATACCCTCTGGTAAATTAACATAGACCCTGGTAGATAGGGGTTGGAAGACTAGTAAAACGACTACAAATTGGTGATTTTCAGGGTCAACCAGTTAATTTACCAGGGGGTAGTAGCAGCAAAGTAGAGGATCTGGCTTCCGTCGTTTTCCCTCTCTTCAAAAATGAATGCGCTTGCTCTCTACTCCCACACTAAACTCCGGAAAGAGAAGATGGGGGACCTCTTTGACAAAGACCATGAAGACTTGGTCGGTCGAGAAATATGAAAAACACCAAAAAATTGCCGTGTTAATTTACTTGAATGATTTTCAAGAGGGAAAATGATGAGATATCATGATAAGATATGATAAGATAAACCTTTAGTGTTCTCGGTATCCTGTTTTCGAACAAACCCAACCAGGGTCCCCTCAGCATGCCGTCATCTCTGGGTTCCATGGACCCTATGTGGACCCCACAAGCCATGGTCACAAAATCGAATGAAATTGTTTAGGGCTCCCCTAAATCTTGGAAAACTAAGTCACCATCAAAGCACCTGGCCCTAGTTTTCCTATACTTTGGGAGAAACCCTACGGCCCCTACAGTACCTTTGACCCTCAAAGAACGGACGAAAAAAAAACGCCAAAATGCGAAAACTGCGCCTCAACCTCTGCAGGCTGACTCAGCTCCTCCGCCTGAGGGAAGAGCTGAAATCAGGGCAATTCCGCCAGGACAATAGGTGGAAATAGGTGGAAAACGAAGTCAAGGCTCTGGCAGAGAGAGACCCTTCTTGGGTTTCAACATGTTTCAACCATCCAAGGTGGTTCTTAAGGATTTCGCAATCACAGTATGTCGAAATGTGTACTAGTCCATGAGATTCCATGATGGCATCCAAAGTATTCCATGGAAGCGTTCCTATGAAAGTATTAGGCTTCATGAAATGGTACTAGTAATTAATATTGAAGCGCCTACTACTTAATCCTATTTAAATTCTACTAGTAATTCATCAGTATTCCTATTTACTTGTGGGCGCTAACTTGTCTTTAAGCCATCTCTTTGCAGCGTTGATTGATTCGAAAAAAGACCATGTATCAGATCCTCCACTGGATCGGGGATGGCTGAGTCGACTTCCCCTCAATATATCTCAATATGACAATGGAGAATCCCCATGTCTCATAGGAAAATATATGGGTTCCATTTACATATGAGAATCCCCATGACAATGGAGAATCCCCATGTAAAATCCTCTATAAATCGGCAATTCTCCTATAGCTATGTTGGATTTCCATTTCGGCTATGCCATGTTGACAGAGATTGCTAGGACCACGGATGCCAAATGCCCATGTCTCTAGTCACAATGACCGATGACATATTGGCGAGTGAGTAGCCGATCAGATTGGACGTTCCGATTCAGGATAAGATTTTGTTTGGGAAATAATGATTCCAATCATATAAGATTCAACAAGGCCCTATCAAAGGTATTTGACGAATGAACCTCTCGATCCAACAGCAATCGGTTCCACTGATCGGTCAAAAGGAATTCCCGTTTCTGGCTAGATCATGAAATCTCAAACTGGGAATTCCTTCAACAAGTTAAACTAGACTTCAGCCCATCTGAGCTTCCAACAGCTGCCACATCCAAATCCTCCTGCAGCCAAATGCTTCCCCATCGGCATAGGTTTTTTCCAAAGAAAATCAGAGAACAAATTGATACAAATAGCAACTTTGCTGCCGGAAAGGAAACCGCGCAACTTCATGCAACCTCCATGGCGGACCCAGAATGGTTAGGATGTCAATCTGTTTTTTCATGTTTGATTCTCTTGATTGCGGCTTCACGAGAACTCAGATCTTCCTTTGCACACAGTCGGATCGGCAGAATCATCAGAAGCGCTCTGTGTTTTTTTACTCAGCCACTACGCTCTGCTTGGCGATCAGCTCGGGTGATTGTAAACTCTCTGCAAATATAGCAAAATCGACCATTTCAGGACAAACTTCATCAAACTTCTCTCCCTGAAATCATTTAGTGGTCACTTCGTGATGGGATATGATGGAGCTATTGGAGGTGCGTTTTGGTGTTGTAAAAAGTCCCCACATTGTTCGTTTCCAGACGCTTAGTAAGGTGAGTGTTCTTGATTCTCAACCCCAAGTCATAAGTGAACTGTGGGCCAACCAACCTGATGTACCCAGAAAATCGTAAACTTTGGGTAGGATCTAACTGATCTAACCATCTAAATGGCTCAACAATGAACCCGTTTCACCCGCCAGGTTTCACTCAGATTCACCGAGAATTCAGGGCCAGCTTCACCTCCACAGAAGGTGCGTTGGAAACGCTGGCCGCACGCTCGCCAGAGACCTGAAAAAGTTTCCGTCGCCAGAGACCTGTCCCCTTGAAATCAATCCATGGATGGGTCAAAAAATATGGGGTGATTTCACTACCACGGTGGATGGGACATGATGTAACTAACCACCCCAAACAAAACCCACCAAAAATAGAAACATTCTCATGCCAACTTAAGCCGTAAGATCAGTTTAAGCCTTTGAAAACTGGTGTTTCACCTGCAAGAGGCTTCTTGCCAACAAGAATGATGACACAAACGTGGTCAGTCTGGAGCGATTCGATGCACATCATGAGCATGACCTGTAGTTGTTCAAGTCCTTTCGGGGACTTGCTTGCTAGGGTTACCACCATTAATTCTTCCTGAAATCAAAATGCAATATGGAACCCATACACTTGGCCATGTGATGCCCAGATCTGAAAATTTACCTGCTAGCAATTGAACCTAGCTATGGAAATCATCATTTTTGATAGGTAAATCATCTAAAAATGGATTATTTCATATTATTTCCCTTTGTTAAATATCCAGAGGGTCTCTTCCAAAACCATGATCTAGTCAATCTAGTGTTCCATGTCATGTTCTTTCCCAGTCCCAGAAATATGCAACACAGGCCCAGTTTCTCGTGTAATGGAACTTTTTGCACACAACGGTAGCCCATCAACACGAGCACCATGTTGAACATCATATCACCCATAAGATCATGAGACATCCAAAAGTTTGGTTCCATAAATCATTGTTTTGCTGGTTTGTTCAGCTGATCATACGGCTATGAGTCTATGAGTCAAAAACCTCATTAATTTATCATAGTTCAATATATTTTATCAGATGTTTGGGGACAAACATTCATTAACATTCATTAACAAGCTATGACTCAGGGTACCATAACCATATTGGCTCCTGCAACGGCACCTCGTTGATCTCTGCCGCTTCCACGGCACCATATCTGGCTTCGGCGGCTTGGGTGAAAGCACCGCTGTCGCGCGCGACCTGGATGATGGTCACTGAGCTGGGCACAAGGTCTCCCTGAGACTTCATGTAGCTATGGAAAGCCAGCTTTTTCTGGTTGGTGGTTGACCTACCCCTCTGAAAAATATGATATAGTCAATGGGAAGGATGACATCCCATATATGAAATGGAAAATAAAAACTGGTTGAAACCACCAACCAGCTTTTTTAATGAGTGTATCGGTGTATCATTTCTGTCATCTATAAATGGGCTATGGTTCCCATAGCTGTGTTCAATATCCAGAGGCTGTTTTTTCATGGTCAACTGGCATAATCCCAGGTATAAGGGTTGTTTTCGATGTTGAAAGCAATCACTTCATCGAGCATGACATGGGATAAGAAATCCAACACAGAGAGGTAGAGAGGGTTTTTTAGGCAATTACTATTAAGCGCAATTCTCGGGCCCAAGATTCGGATGATTTCGGAATACCGAAACAGCTGCTGCTTTCAACCAGGCCAAAATGGCAGCTCTCAATGAAAACCGATTGTCGGTGCATTCCGCGAAAAATGCGTTGACTCGTGGATGCTGCGAGATTCTGCGATTCTCTGAGACAAGAGGACATGTTTGATTTAGATTGCAGCTCCTTCAACTCAAATTTTTAAAGAGATTGTATCTACATCACATCATAATCCCTGTATATCCCGAACAGAAATATGGAGTGTGTTGGGTTCTAGTTTGTTCTCCCGTTTCCCCTAAAAATCCCCGTGAATGAAACCCCATCAAAAATGCGCTTTTTAGCCTAGTATATGGAAATTCCCTACTTAGACTAGTGGTATCTACACATACTGAATGTACATAGATATATAATGATATACAAATGTGGAACATCCGGGCACCTAGATTAATGGCATTTACAGTCATTACATATATAGGTAATTTAACGTAGCGAACTGGAAAATCACCATAAAAATGAAAGGGAAAGCATCATTTCTATCATCTATAAATGGGCCATGGCTTCCATAGCCATAATAAATGAGCAAAGGGCATATCCCATTAAGTTTCATCAAATCATAGTGAATCCAATGTTTATCCTAATTATTAAATCATAGTGAATCCTAATTTAGAAAAAACAGAGAGTAAATTCCCGTCAATCTCATTAACTCACCATTGCTTGATGCTTAAACTTTATTAAATCCCATTCAATCATATCAAAACCCTATTAAATCATCAAATCTGTAATGAATAAGTCTGAATAAGCATTATGTTTTTCAGCAGCAGAGGGTATAGTCCATTAAGTTTCATCAAATCATAGCAAACCCCATGTAAAATCCCTATGTAACCACAGTTGATCCTATGAAAAATAGCCTGAAGGTACCGTACTTCACAACGGGATGCCTCTAGAGCTTCCTCCATCTCCTCAGCAGCCTCGATGGTTGGAGGCGAACGTTACCAAGAACTTATGGCATGTCAATGATTTCATACAGAATAATTACAACATGTGAATGTGTATATATATATATATATGTATTTTAGTCAGAGTCATATGAGTCATAGTTATATGTGTATATATAATGTTTTCATACATTATACATATACATATATATATATGTATATATATATACATATACACAGTGAGGGTATCACTAGACAAACCCAAGTGCACCTGCAAAATGACCAGTGAAATTTTGTAACATGGATGAACAGCAACACAATATACCTGGAAATCCTTGTGTGTCTTGAAGGTCTTAGATTGTAACGTCGCAAGCCATTGGACCATCACGGCCATCATCCCAGTGCTAGGGGCCCAAGTTCAAATTCGGGATGGTGGCCACCAGAATTCTCCCCTTCCAGAAGAATTCCATAATTTCCATGGTTTATCTACCATAGTTTCTATGTTTCTCCTATATGGCTATGGATCAATACCTATACATACCAATTTTAGGGGGATGAACATCCATTTACCAGCTATTTTGATGTTCACCAGGGGGATAGAGTTTTGACCCATCCCCATATCTAGCCATTTGGGTATGTGTCAAAGTTGCGTACCCCTAAAATCGCATGGGTTTTTCTTATTCTATTACGGACCAAGCCCCTGCCGTGCTGGGCCCCATTATGCCATAAGCTCCCGTATTTCCTCCCGCAGTTACCCAAGTATGATTGGGGATACCACATCAATTTGGGTCCCCAAATGTGCCATGGTCAGAATGTGGAATGGTCATGGAATGGTCATGTGGTATGGTCCATATGGTCATCCATCCTGAAGCGGGAATCTAAAGGTCATGGGCATACAAATCCCTACGTTTATCATGGATTGATGACCATCCTCCAACACAGATGCAGCATATAGATGTATATAGTCCAACTGTTGGTCAGCAGGTTGGTTTCAAAACTATACATCTCCTCACAATCCAAAAAAAAATCCTGTGAAGGATCCATGTGAAGGATATTGAAGGATCCATCCATTTCCACTGTGTGGTTGGGAAACTCAATTCCTAGCCCCTTGGTTCCCCATGTTTAATAATGAATGTCGATACCTATAGCTGCAAACCGCTCCCTTCCAACCTCACTGGCTAGTTCTTCAATAGTTTGAATTGGAGATGTTCCCTTCTTACTACAAATCCATTTTTATCCGTGATGTCTTTTTGTTCGAGCCATGATTTCCCATGAATATCCAACAATCAATCCCTAGAATTCAATGGTATTTTCATGGAAAACTTCCCCACAAAAAAACGAAGTTCGCCCCGGCCTCGCTTGGCTCAGCCTCTGATTTCGCTCCAAAATCTGTGGGGCTCAATCTCGACTCCGAGACCTCCGGCACTCGTGCCGGTCAGTGGCAGGCCAAGCAACGGTCAAGCCCCCGTGAAAGGCCAGAGGTCAACAGGTCGGTCAACTAAAATTTGGAATATTGCGGTAAAATCGGGTAAAATCAACTGTTCAATTTTCTTTTTTGGGGCTTCAAAAAAGCAATGAATCTAGGTAAATTATCACGCACGCACATAGTAGATAGATATCGAGCCGGACGATTCTCTGAGAAAATTCAATAATTGTCATCACCCATCTGGCTGTAATGTATTATTTTACCAACCAGAAGTGTTTGGTCAATTTGTGATGGTTACCCTGATGGTTGCCCTAATCCTAACTTCATTTTCAGTGACGTTGCAGTGAGGTTGTTACAGGCTACCCAGATAATGAATGGGATAGCAGTTGTTGGGATGAAATAACACTAGTCCGTCTATATATAATATATATATGGGTATGGCTCAAAAACGGGTATGGATCGTTCCGCGGTGATCCGGACGTATGGAACAAGGAGTTGTCAGCAAGCGTCTTGATCCGGACCTTGTCATAAGGGCTTACATGGATATAAATATAAATGTAATTAAATACAAATATAACATTATTTAGATATAAATATAAATATAGAATAATATATATATAATAGAAATACATATGCACATATCTATATAATATTTCATCAGACCCGTGGGGCACGAAGAGCAAGCAAGGACCTGCTTTCGTTTTCAATCATCACTATCTGAGTCAGAGGAAGAGCTCGAAGAAGAGCTCGTTGAATACACTTGAATATCAACAAATGGTGGTGATGGGGGATGGGTCCTACATGGCATGATTCGGGTATGGAACGGGTATGGAACGAAATGGACCTGAATTTCTAAAAATCCTGGCTGATTGTTTTGGTGGTAGAATCAAAATCTAGTTCAATCCTTTGTTGGAACGGAAACCAATCGTGAATAACCCTTGGCTGATTTGATGAAAAATGTGGTGTTCATAATCCCTCACAACCCCAAGTATACTTCAAATTGCAGATTGCGAGCCATCATACCAACACAAACATAAAATCCTTTATGGTAGCAATAGCGAGCAAGCGGGATCGGGTTAGATACTTTATGTACATATCTCCTGGTTTCAAAATTCTGCCTCGTTGATTCGGCGGCGACGTCGTGCGTGAAACAGAAACTGAAGAATCCCATAGGTACAACTCAGAAACAAAACCAATCCATGCCCAGGATTTGCAATTACCGAGGTATGTATGGATCATGGGTATGGATCATGGGTATGGATCATGGGTATGGATCATGTCCTCCAAAGGGGTATGGATCATGGGTATGGATCATGGGGTATGGATCGCATGTGGTCCCGGGGTATGTATCGGAACCTTACATTTTGAGCTGCAGCCATATATGCATATGTGCATATTTATATAATATATGTTTGGAATAATTTGATGACATGAAAGAGAATTGGATGAGCTGAATAATAACTCGTTTTTTTGGGGGTGATGATGGGGATAGTCTGAGCAATTATGGAGAAAACGATGGAAACATGTTAGGATTATTGATAACTGCTGGAGTATGGGGGACCCTAAATAAACATTGCTCCAACCAAAGGGAGGACACAGAGGATACCAAAGGACCAACATTCAGGGCTGCTAACCTTTAACATGTTTAATAATTGATTGACAAAGAATGTCTTTTGAAACGTAAATAATGGTAGGTGTGCGCACCTTTTTCCAAAAAAACAAAGAATTGCGAAATGATATATACACGTAAGACTTGTGAACCCACAACGATCTCACCAAATACAGTGCAAATGAAGGTATGTCTATGTAATATGGGTGGTTCCTAAAATAGGGTACCCCAAATCATCCAAAATTAGACCATTTTTGTATTGAAACTCATGGTTTTGGGGATCCCCCCCATTTTAGGAAACCACCATATATACATATATATCTTATATAATATCGATTTATGCTGTACATACTATTGGCAGCATGGTTTACTTCACGACTCATGGCAAAAACCATGAAATGAGAAGCGATTCATGAACCATTCCCCAAGCGGAAAACCCAAACACCTCCTGGTAGGATGCGGAGAAGAATTCTTGATTCTGAACATGTTCCAGTTTATGGATCTATAACTTTTATAACCTACAATAAACATCTATATAAGCGTCTCTGCAATGTGAAACAATGCAGTTTATAGCACAGAATCCCTACGCTGTGAATTCTTTTTATGGTCCGGAGTGGTTTGTGGTTAGTAACTGGCCTTGCCCACTTATGTATGGGATAACCTTAGGATAACCTTGGGGATAATTTTTGGGGGACCTACTCAGTACCCTCTGGTAAACTGTTACATAACTATGGAAAATCACCATTTTTAATGGGAAAATCCACTATAAATAGCCATTTTCCATAGCTATGTTAAATTACCCATAGTGGATTTTCCATTTATAGTGGATTTTCCCATTAAAAATTGTGATTTTCCATAGTTATGTTAGTTTACCAGAGGGTACTCAGTAAGTCGCCCCAGCCCAACCTCCTCAATCAACTCCTCGGGAGAAGTGCTTCGAGAGACCGGTGTCTCTGACTCCTAGAAGCGGAGACTTTTGCGGCTGAGGCTGTGAGGATAGGGCTTCGCTAGGTGTCAACTTGGTAAGAATTAGGTGTTGGTAATGATTAGATATAATTAGACCCTAAGGATGCAAACACCTCCTTCTCGAAGGTACCGCTGATCCTTTAAATTATAAGTATCCCAGCCATACTTCTTCAGGAGCGACTAGATTCCAAAAATGGAAGGAATCTATACATTGAAATAGATTGAAATGTCCTCATGACAAAATGAATGTTGTTTGGATGTTGTGAGTGATTTTTTACATGATTGGGTGATGTTTGGATTAGAACACACCTGTAATAATGGTGAATCCACACCAGAAACCGATGCTTTTGTGTCTTACCGTTGAACCAACCAAAATAAGTGGTTTACTGTATAGCATACATAATATATATATATATATATGAGTAGAAATATGAAATATGGACCATATAATATTATATATTATATACTCTATTATATATATATATACGTATACATATAATATATATATAATATGTCGTCTATGTATATTATATTTACAACTCAGAAATGATGGGTTTCAGTAAATTGAATTTCAATTGGACATGTTGCAATTTTGCAGGAAATCCATGGTCAAATTACCATCAACTATCGGGAAACGGTATGTTGTGTTGTTTCACCAAATTCTTGGGTGGTATGCCAACCGATCATGAGAGGTTGCGAATCAGTCAACCGCTGATACAGTAGTTGCCACGGTTCTCTCGTGTACTAAAGCATCTTTTAAAGCAATGTCGTCATATCATGACATGGAAATGACTTGGGTTTGGTTAATGTTCACAACTGGTTGGTGGTATACCTACCCTTCTGAAAAATATGAGTCAAATGGGATGATTATTCCCAGTATATGGAAAAATAAAAATTGTTCAAACCACAACTCGATGACTCGTTTGGCGTCCGAAATTCCGGTCACCAAAAGAATGGGTCAACTGCCTCAATCACCTCCTTCATTCAACTGCTTCCCACGTGGCTGTAGCGGGAGAAACCCAACGTGCTTTGATTTTGGGACAATGATGTTCAACATTGTTCAACTGATTTCCGAACCCGTTGGATTTTTGATGATTTTTGGGTTCCCTGAAACTTCGGACCAAAGCCTCCTCCTCGTCGGCGCTGCCTTCCTCAACGACCTGAATTTCACAGAAAAAAAAAGCTGAGGGAAGCTTCACCTACCCTCGGGTGGTCAAACACGCCAATGGGACATCGTCCTGAAGTTGGCATTTAAATGGGAAAATAGGATATGGGGGTTTCCTAAAATGGAGGCACCTAAAATGGACCGTTTATAATGGAAAATCTATTAAAATGGATGATTTGGGGGTACCCCCATTTTAGGAAACCCCCATGTGTTCTGCCGAAAATTCAATATTAGGGCAAGGGATCGCTAGTGATGATAATGATCACGATAATTCACACCAATGACAATGATAATCATAGGACGTCCTCCATCGATGCTTTGAACTTTGAACTTTGGATGTCGTTCACTAAAAATCGTTTGCGATATACCTATAGATGGCTTCGGGGTGAGCCGTCAACCTATCTCAACCAGAGATCCAGCTACTCAGAACATGTTTTCACCTCAAAAATCCCCAGGTTTCTGAACACCCAGTATTAGTACAGGTCAAGTATACATGATCATTCTTGGCTAGTCCAGAAACAAATGTCAGAGTCACATTTGTATATATATATATATATATGTGTGTGTCATCTTTCGCTGGTATTCGCCGGTTATTTTCAAATAGCGAAAGGATAAAACTCGCAATCCAGTTGGGGATGTTGTATCTAGTCATTGAATATGGTCTGGTGAGTCTGGTGATTCGAAGCCATTCCAAACCATTCCAAATGGGCAAAAAAACATTGCCTTCAAATCATTGCCTTCATCTGGTAAACGTTTAAATAAGGAACTGGAAAAATCACCATGCATTTTTCATGGGTAAATCAAGTATAAATGGCCATGTTCAATAGCAAACTGTTTGTTTACCAGGCCGGGTATCTACCATTCCAACCTTTTAGGGTGATCCCAAAGGCCAAAAGGCATCAATTTTGGCACCTTTTTTTTGACCTCCAAAAAAAATCAGCCGCAGGAAATTCTGACCTCTGTAGTTACATATATTGGTGAAAACCTCTACATTTGTTGATTGATTCACAGCATGGATCTACCCCTTTTTTGGGGGGGCCATATAAGAAAGGGCCCGAAATGATCGAGGAAGTTGCGTTGCAAATTGCACTGGGTAACCGGGATCCAACGTGGGCATATTATGTTGGGTCGGCTTTAAACAAAGCCCTTTCTTTGGACGCCCCTATGTAAGGTCTATGTAAGGGAATATCCCCACAAAATATGGCCTTATATGGTACAGTACCTCCATTTTAGGATCCTGGCATTCCCATTGACATCTTGTACCCTTTCATAACCGGCATCCATCTGACCCCAAGAATTCTCTGCTTCCACAAGCGAACCACATCTGAAGTTTTCGGGCCTGAACCCGGGAACCCCCATGCCAAACACATCATGTTCAGTGAATGCATTTAAGGAAATAAATACATACGGTATCTGGATTTATGTTTGATTTGAGTGGAAAAATCACAATAATAAATGGTCTCAAGCGCAAATTTGAATGAAACGCGTGTGTTTAATGATACAGATCATGTTGTTTGTTGAATTACTCTCCTGTAATTTAACATAGCTATTGAAAATTGCCCATTGATAAGTGATTTACCCATTAAACACTGTGATTTTCCATAGTTAGCTATGTAAACGTTTACCAGCGGGTAGATGTTGTTCCCTTGAACCCAATGATTTTTTGGTTTCACCCGCCGCCCGCTGTTGGCCTCTGGAAGCGAACAATTTTGCACTTCATCGGCTTTCATGGCCCAGCGCCTCAAAGAGGTGTAGCTCCGGCTGTCTCTCCCAATGGGCCCTTTGGGGAACATGGAATTTCTTGCGGTTAAAACCAATGACAAACGGGCCCCATATGGATTGATGGTTGGATTACCACCCAATGAAACTATGTAAGAATGGTAAACTTGGGGACGGTTTAATATTGCTTTACCAACATTGATGGGGAATATCATGGGATTTTAGCATGAATCACAGGGGTATAACGGTATCATCAAAAACTTATGGGAATATCATGGGAAGTAATGGGAAAAAGAACAACTCCGGTGCATCAAACGTGTCTGGCTGGAAAAGCCTTGAAATCCTTGAACTAGCCATGAAGGTTTAGTTCGCTGAGAAGATCATCAAACAAAATGGAGGATTTGCCGCTCCCTCTCCACCTTTGGATCGGATACTTGTGTGTGTGTGCGTGTGGGTGGATGTATGAGTATACCGTTTACATCCAAATATCTCCAAATGATTCCAAATGACCATTTCAATGTGGTCAATGTAAATGATGATGAGCCAGCAAACATCAGGGCACAGTAATCGTCTTACTTTTAGACACCACCTCATGGAGATGTGGAAGATTACCCTCCGCTAAACTAACTATTTCTATGGCCATTTTCCATATAAATCACCATTTTCCCATGGTTTTCCCATGGTTTTCCCATGGTTTTCCCATGGTTTTCCTCTGGTTTACCAGGCCGGGTACCCTCAGACATAGCTATGGAAAATCCGGGCTTTCCGTTCAGAAATGATCCACAAATTCTGGTGGATTTTCCATAGCCATGGCTACGTTTCCTGGATGGCAAACATGGACCCTGACGCCTTGGTCTGATCCAACAAATGGGTGTGTTGGAAATTCATGTCCCCCAAATCCGCAAGCGAACTTCTGTATGAACACATCCAGCTTAGGCAGTTAAGATCAGTTTGTGTTTCCTCATAATTACGTTGCCAAGAAAATGTTAACACATGAAACTCCCCAATTCGTGGCTCATGATTGGGATGCCCCAAAGAAATGGCCACCATAAGTGTTCGCCCGTTCCTTCTCGGTGGCCATGGATCCATAGGGATTAATAAGTGTTAATACTGGTTGGTGGTTTCAACCCCTCTGAAAAATATGAAAGTCAGTTGGGATGATTATTCCCAATATATGGAAAAATAAAAAATGTTCCAAACCACCAGCCAGAATAAGTGTTAATATCATTGAGTATCCGTTTATCGCCAAAGATTAAAGCTGCAAAATTCAATAGACTATCCCTATGGATCCATGGCCACTGTCTGAGAAGGTACGGCTAACCCCCTAGTCATCATAGCCCAGTCGTACTTCCTAAGAAACTACAGCTGGATCCCACTGGGTATGTTTGTTTCTGATCCACTTCGTTTCCCCGTTTTTTACGGCCTGCCATTCTCGGAGTTCAACAGGGTGATCCAACCATCTGGCGCTTCCAATCGAGCGCGGATTCCTTGGATGCACGAGACAAACATTCCAATGGGGATACAGTACTTGGTGGGGTATACTTACACAAGGTGGTGCCCCCCAGTGATGTTTGTTGGTTGATAAACCATAGGAATAGTATAGATATATCATGAATTATCATGATATATCTACCATAAACCATGGTGAAATTGGAGTTATTTGCACCAACTTAGCCAACTATGGCACCACCTTACAGGTTCCAATATCATTTTGGCTGCAGGGGATAAGGGTGTCATGAGATATACACACAGGTTTTATCAATGGCCATTCCAGGATCCTAAATTGGAGGTACCTACCATATATAAGGCCTATATAAAACCTATGTAAGGGAATATCCCCACAAAATATGGCCTTATATGGTACAGTACCTCCATTTTAGGATCCTGAAATTCCCATTTTTACCATCTATGATTTGGATACAACGGGGATATCTATGACATTCTATGACCAACTTGATATGAATTGTGTGTGTGTGTAAAAATAGGTTTGACCATGTTTTACCGGCATACTTCTCCAATGGTGATTTTTCATGAGAAATCTGATGAAATCACCAATGTGCCATCTTGGCGAGTCCAGCCGACGAGTGGATTTACCCTCTGGTTATGACTCACATAGCCATGGAAAATCACCATGTTCAATAGGTAAAACATGGTAAAACCATCTATAAATGGGCCATGTTCCATGGCTATGTTCAATAACCAGATGGTAACTATCAAAAAATACCCTTAAGGGCACGACTCCGGCGAGCGAAATCGAGCAACATTAGTCTTGAACGGAGTTGCCCAATGGGGTTTACATCCCCTCTTGTTATCAAACATGGCATTGGAAAATTGGATTGTCCTACCTTTGGGAATTCCAGTGGATTTTTGTTGAACCCGTCTTGGAGCGAGTGCAATGATGTTGGGTCACCGTTCATCATCCGATCTTTTGACGCTGAAATCCGCTGAATTTCGATTCTCTGGACCACAATTCATGAAAACATATCTGTCTGAAAAGGGCCTATAGTTTTTACAACATGCTTTTCAAAAATGCGACAAGTTTTTCAAGCATGTGATGCTATTTGAAATGCTGAAACATGGATGCCATGGATGATGCCCTGGGTGCCCTGGGTGCGGTTCGAGTTCGACCGCCAGGGAACTGCCCTCTTGGTACAGATTCTTGACCTCCTCGACTTTCACCAAAGTGCCTCGCCAGCTCCATCCCCAAAGGGGGACCATATTTCGCTCGACCGGATTTAGCTGTGGCCAAAAAGATGTGAAGTCAAAAAAAGTGGAAACATATGGAACAAATATGGAAAACTATGGGAAAAATATGGGAAAAATATGGAAACATATGGGAAACATATGGGAAGATGATGTTCAAAATCTCGAAATGCTTCAATGTTTTTTTGTCGCATAAATGTATCTGAAGGTCAATTTTCTGGCTCACGCCAGAAAAAAATCTGCCATCTTTCTTTGAACCCGAAGGTACAGATCTGCGCTGCTCAACTGGAAATCTCCTACAAGAGCTGACTAGTTCCTATTGGGAGCGCAAGCCAGTCATGAATTGGGATCTTATCAGGGATCGGTACCTTCAAAGGATGATACTAAGCATGGTTAGTCTCTGATCCCTCTTCAAAAAGCCAATGTGTGGGACATGACCTTCATATTCATATTCCTCCAATACCCATAGGATCCATGGTGCTGGTATATATGCTAACATTTGGGGTATATTGATGGTAAATGTTACCATATATAGCATACATGGATCCCATGGGATACAATAAGCCGATTGCCTAAGCCCAGCACGCGAAAAGCGCAACGACTCCAACAGGGGGCACACGGAAAAACACGGCACGCCTTCGTCCAGTTCCTCCACGATCTCTTCATCGTCGGGATCAATGTTCCAGCAACTCGGTGAAACGCACACCATCCTCGTTGTTCGGAACAAAGGTGGCGCTTAGGCAGGCTGCAGTTTATGGAAGAATGTACGGTTGACACTTAGAAAAAAACGATCTTTGTGGATAAAAGCATATAAAAACCAAGATGTCCTACAAAAAAACTGTAATCAGATCGAAACCAAACACAACATTGCTAAGCAACAAATGTGTAAAGTGTATACTTCATGTGTTTTTTCGTGCACAAATATACGCTCCAAAAGCAGCTTATAGAAAAACAGCTGCAGTCAAATCCCACCCGACTCATGCGGGTCCTGGTGAGAACGTAGAGGCCAGGGCCATCTTCCTGGATGGCATAAGATCACGCTTTGTCTCAGCATTGCCAATGTCAAATACTCTGCATGTTCTAAGCTGGTGAACGTCGATATTCCGATATTCCGATATTCCGATGATTTATCATCTGGTTATGACTAACAGTTCGCCATGGAAAGATTCACCATGCTATTAAGAACGGTAAACCATCTATAAATGGGCCATTTTCCATGGCTATGTTAAATTACCAGAGGGTATAGCAAAAGATTAAAGGGTGAAACTGTCCATCCAAGGTAGACCCAGGCAATTACCAGGCAGCCTAGTGCGTTGGAAAATTTGGAACCTGATCCACGGTATGTACTCCCAAGTCAATGGGGGTTTTGTGTATAGAATTTCCGTGAAAAAGTCTTGGGAACCGAGGTTTCACATGTGACTTTCTTTAGCACTGAAAGAGCCCTACGGGTACTCATTATAGTCATGCCATGCATGGTATAATTGCTTACATAACTAGCTGATTTATCGGGTAGATGTAGGTATATTTTTACCATACATGGAGCGTATGGGATATGTCCATATGTTATATGATATCATTTTATATCATATTATATCACATAATCACATATTAATCACTAATATGTGCACATATCGTATAGATTACCTAAAAAATTAAGAAAACAGCTGCAGCTGGGAAGTCTTCGCGCGAAAAACCAGGTGAAACCTTCCCAGGTCACCAGGTCGCGGTGGATCCGTTGGGTTTGCGAAACGCGTGGCGTGGATCGGGCAGTTGATAGGGAAATCTTCGAAGAACGACATGGTCCGACATGGTCTCACCTTGGAATTCCCATGATTTCCCTTTGGCCAAGGTGATCACCAAAGAATATATGGAATAGTTGATTGGCAGTTGATTGGCAGTTGATTTCCGCGCATTGGGGTATCCCCATTTCTGGACACCTCATATATATATACACTCTATATTCCTGTGGAAGCCAAACACTTCCTTTTCAAAGGTACGGCTAACCCCCTAAATCATACCCCAGACTTCCTTCCCAAGAAGGTACAGCTGGATCCATAGGGTATATTAATTAATAGTGTGCATGTTACACACTAAATTACCAAGTAATGTATAAATAAAATCTATTGAACATTGTATATCATTTCGATCATAGTATATATCTATCTAAATATTTATATACCCTTTCGTTATCTAACGTATCTATGGAAAATGGCCCATTTATAGATGATTTATGATGATTTACCTATTAAGAATTGTGATTTTCCATGGTTACTTTGAATCACCAGAGGGTAATATATGTTAATATAGTAACTATAGTATCTATATACATATCTATCTATACATTTATATAACAATCTATATGTCTATAGCATCATTTCTCTGTCTCCGCGGAACGTGCCTTGCGTTCGTGGAGCGGTGCAAAGTCCTTGGGATCGTCGGTGCCATCGTGGCGCCTTGGATGGTACTCCACCTGTGGGCTGAAGCCATACAAGGTGGTGCCCCCTAAAGTTATAAATGGGTTATAATCCCATGAACTATAAAGATATATCACTTATAAACCATAGTTATTGGACTTATAAACCAACTTAGCTAACTATGGGGCACCACCTTGTAGTTGTCCCCCAAAAACCATTGAAAAACTGGGAACAATTGGGAAAAAAGTAGGAAAAAAACATCATGTTTTACCTGAAAAATTAATACCTTTGACTGGTGATGATAAACCATGGGGGGTACAATGTGTTCAGACTCATCTACTGAGTCTTTTTGGAATGGTTTGAAATCAAACACACATATATATATATATATACTCATTTATTTATCTATTTATTTATTTATGTATTTATTTATTTATGTATTTACGTATTTAGTTATTTATGATTCTATGATTTATTTACTTGTTTATACATGAGGTTTCAGCATATCAGACAATTCTTTCCAATATTGCTTTGAAGATTAGGATTTTGCTATTGTATGAATATGATTGTATTTTTGTGTAATTGGAAGAACGAACCGAGAATAGTAAGTGTTTAATACATGGACATTATTTGCATTCTTGTTGCTATTGCGTTGTGGACTAGTTCTATGGTTCTATTGCATGGTTCACAAGAATTCCTGTAACAAACTGCTCCAGCACCTTGGACCCCCCCAGAAACGTACGTCGATCGTGAACGATCCCGTTTTCGGAAAAAAATGATGTCAAGTCTGTCAAGTCCTAATCTCTGTGGCCCTAAATATGCCTCAAACGCTACGGTTTTCTTGATTAAATACCCTCCAGTACACTAACAGTTTGATTTGGAGTTTACCCACCATGTAGATCCATGTAGATCATTTTCCAGAGTAAACCAGCCAGCTTTTCCCACATCTTTTCGTGTTTACCCATGGAACTAGCACTTCTTGTGACCCAAAATCCCATCAAACAGCTGCCGAACAGGAAATATCAGGGCGCCTGCGAGGAAGCTTGAGGAAGGTCTAGCAGATTCTCCTGGTCACGGCTTGGGACCTCAAATAGAACTGATCTGAATCTTAAATAACCATAAGTATAGCATCGTATAGCAACCCCTAAAACAGGATTGAAAAGTGATTTATATATATATATATCAATAATATGTATATATATATATATTAAAATATATTGATTTATCATGATTTCAGAAGGATTCTGTTTTTCTATCTTTCTGGGTGTTGTATATAGGTTTCACCGTCGCATCCCACGGCTTCACGGGCAGCGCAACGCTGCGGCCGTCTGCTGTGGACACTCCACTGTTTGCTGACGACATGTGCACCAATCAGTGGATACAGAAACTTATGGGATAGTAATAATGGTTAATACTTGTTAATAATGGTTCATAATGGTTAATAACCATTAATAACCTATATACTGCAAAGATGTTGACCTGGTTGGTGGTGCAATAACCATCTTGAAAAATATGAGTTCGTCAATGGGAAGAATTATCCCATATATGAAACGGAAAATAAAAAATGTTCCAAACCACCAACCAGCAGAATATATAGAGTAGGGTCCTATCAACTGACTGCCTTCACGTGCTTCTAATGGATTCTGATGAATTACACATCTTATGGATTTGGACAATGCACAATCAACCAGGTGGTATGAACCACAAGTGTTCAGTCAACAGGGCCTTCCAAAAAAAAGTACGGGTTTGTATGAAACATGTTCGCGAAGCCATAACTTGGGAGTGAGTCCCCATTCTTAGTGTTTTTTTTGGCACACCAATCTCATATTCTCTGTTATGTCCATCTAAGTGTTATATATATATATGCATTTATTTATTTATTTCCCAGTATCTCATACGGTATATCCCATTGTATTTCCCAGTTTTGCCCCATCAAGTTGTTGCCTGTGTTGCATAACCCCTTGATATCCCATGGTCTTTTGGCCACCTGGGCCATGGTCACATCATGGTTTATGGATTATGCTCATCCAACCATCTTTGTTCACATTGATATTTAGTTACGGGTCAAAACCCTGAGTACCCTTGGTACCCTAAAGTAGCGAGTTAATGCATGTTCATGGATGATTGTTCCCCCAAATATGGTAATATGTAATAATAGGTTTTGAACCATCCCCATCATCCCCCAAGATGGCTATATAATCCGGCTTTTGGCTCGACTCTCGCACATGGCACGTATGCTCCCAAGGGGCGAAAAGGTGACGCCCGAACAGCAAGAACTTATGGGCTTTTTAAGCACCAACAACCACTGATAAGGGATTATCATTGTATCCCCTGGTATTCCCATGATACCCCCATTACATTCTATATATGTCTATATCATATTCCCGTTAAAGCCATTGAACTACAAACATTATGGGTTAGTTAAATCCTCATGAAATCACCACCGTTTGGATCACCACCGTTTGCTCCTGGCTCTTGAAATCCTTTGCATCGATCCAGCCATCCACTGGCTGTGCCAAACATGCTCGCCTTGCGTCGACGTTGTGCGCGCGTTGAGGCTGCTGATTGGTCCATGGTGTGGTTTCATCCGTTCTTGAACACTTCATTGTTAATAGATGAACCTACGGGAGACATGACGGTTGAGACGCCTTACTTTAAAGAGATAAAGACACTAGCTGACTTTTGAGAGGAATAGTTACCTGACAAATAAGATGGAGTTGGAACATCCCACCGTGCAGGATAATGTGTCTATTGAACATAGGAATCAACCCGTTACCTTTGTTTCAAGTAAAGCAGTTCAGTCTTAAAATCCCCATTTTGGCGAATGATTCATGCCCAGGCACAATCTTTCTCATCTGAGTATGGGTCATGGAAAAATCACCACTTATCAACCCCCATGGTGGCCATCATCAAATTTGTGGGTCCCAAAAGGTTCTCCAATTATGGAGCATCCCAAGCAGCGAAAGATGGCTAGCTGGGAATCTCCCAAACCAGCCATGGACCATGGAGGTTTAGTTCGCGAAAATCATCGAACTAAATCCTGGAAATCATCATGTCCATGTTTGATTGGAGGATACATACCCTCTGGTAAACGTTTACATAACTATGGAAAATCACCATTTTTCATGGAAAAACTCACTATAAATGGTGATTTTCCAATATCTTCCATAGTTATGTTAGTTTACCAGAGGGTATACCCTATGGATCCAAACACTTCCTTCGCCGAGGTATGGCTAACCCTCTAGTCATCATACCCCAGCCATACTTCCTTCTCGAAGGTAAGGCTGGATCCGTAGGGATCCATAACATATTATGGGTAAGGGCCGAAATTAAAGACCTGCAAAACCACAGATTTTCAAAAGTATATATTAGTAGCAAAACCATCCAGTGCTATTGGGGCTACACTCAATTTTGACCCATCCCCATACTCATATCAATACTGAGAAATATTATGTGTATATATATATATATTATTCAAATATATATACATATATATATTCAAATATATATATATATATTCAAATATATATGTATATAATACCATATAATACTATATAATACTATATAATACTATATAATACTATATAATACTATATAATACTATATAATATTATATAATACTATATAATAATATATAATATATAATACTATATAATACTATATAATACTATATAATACTATATAATACTATATAATACTATATAATGCTATATAATTCTATATAATACTATATAATACTATATAATACTACTATATAATACTATATAATACTATATAATACTATATAAATAGATACTATACTAATATATATATATATATGGGAATTCACCAACCTGTTATCACCTTCACAACTCAGTGGTAATCACGAAAAAACTCATCTCCCAGGCCCAGGAGGCCCCTCTGGGCCCAGGCAGGAGTCGTCGCTCGGCTAAGAGTTTGAAGCTCATGACGTTGACAAAGGTTCCAGCCTGACGTTTTCGACGAGAATTCGACGGCGATTCTTTCGCTGAAGAAAAACAAGGGCCTCACCGGAACTTCACACATCATCAAAAACAGGAATGGAAGAAAAACAAACAACAAATCCAGCCAAGACAGCTGGGGATTTCGCGTTTTTTTTCCCTGCATCCTTAAGCCAATACTATGAGGCCATGCCAACCATAAGTTTTCCAGCTTGTGGATACCCAGGATTTGAAGGTGCAGTTCCAGTGAACTGAGATGAACTGAGTGGATATGGTGAACACCATTGTGGGCTGCAAACAAAAAACTACAGTTACATACTAAGTGTTCAATTTTTGTAGTTTTTATCCAAATCGATACATTGAAAAACCCATGGAAAAACCTATAATTCCCCATGGTTATAGCTATAGAAGTAGCCTCTGGCCTGC